ACAGAAGCAGACATAGAAAAAGAAGCATAGATACAAAAGGCCACTGTCAGTCATAATTTATTTAAGGATCTGACCCAAAATGCAGTAAACCACTCAGAGAGCAAAGTTTGAACAGGGTTATTGATAAAACCAGCGGGGGTTGGATTCAGGAAACTCTGTGTACTCAGAGGGCTGGTGAACTGGAACTGAAAGGGAGGAGGGAAGTACACAGAGGTGAGTTCAGGAACCGTGGGAATCTTGAAAGCAGTGGGGAAAATGCTAATGAGGATCTCACGTTAGGGGGGGGGGGTTATTCTCTCACTAGCATCCAGTCTGTGTGGGCTAATCAGAGAAGAGGGAACATGTTGAAGAGTGGACAGGTAGACATTCTTTGGACCGGGAGGAGCACTGGAGCGGACTGTCACTTGGATTTCCATGAGGGACTTGAACAGCACATGTGGAGGTTTCTCAGTGTGAACTTGGTAAACAATCCTTCCAGGGGAAGAAGGCCAAACATCCAGTACGCAGGAGGACTTCCTGCCAAAGGCAAAGACAAAAAAAAACAAGGTTAGACTCAGTGAAACAAAGACTCAGGTTAGACTCTGCTCATCTAAGCATGGCTAGAGTACCCAAAACTGTGTTTGCCAGTTTTGGGTACTCTAGCGTCGAGGTAGTGACAGTCCACTGCTTAAGTGCTCCTCCAGATAATGATCCAAAGAACCGCAGGTGTGCAGAGAGGACCAACAATGACAGGGTGCCACCTGGTGGTGGAGGAAGAGACAGACACAAAACACACCACACAAACTGGATTCCTGAAACTGTCAACCAGCTTCACAGGCGGCCCCGTCCAGGAAACACACAGCCAGGCAGACGAGCTCCAAGCCAGCTCCCATGTCAGAGGATGAAGAGAGCACATCCAGTTAGTCACAGGAGAAAAGAGATAGAATGAAGCTGAATGATGAAATAGGTATAGGGTCCTATAGAGATAGCTCAGGATAACCTGAGCCACTCTTAACTAGAAGCTTTATCAAAAAGGAAAGTTTTAAGCCTAGCCTTAAAAGTAGACAGGGTGTCTGCCTCACAGACTAAAACTGGAAGTTGGTTCCACAGGAGAGGAGCCTGAGAACTAAAAGATCTGCC